TTCTTTGAATCATGAGCTAACAAAAGATATCAGTTATTCATTTCAGCAAGATGAGGGTTACCTGAGGTAACTTGCATGCACCCTTGTAGAAAAAGGATCTGCTATAGTGGCTTGTTTTGACTGCCTTGAGAATTGTTTCTTCAAAAGCTATTTCCGAGTTAAAGAAGTTAATACTTTTATCCACCCAAGAACGCAACCTCAAATACTTCAGTTGGATAAATTCTCAGTCTGGGTGTCTGAGGTCACAGTGTCTTGCCATATATCGGCAAATGCAATGCAAAAGTTTATGTTTGCCATGACAGTTTTAGTACCAAAGATTTGGAATGATTTTTGAGTTTAAGTTAGATTGTGACTTTTCCTCACTTGCTTTCTAAATTGTGTATGAATGTGAAAGAGGGGTCAGGAGGGAGAAAAAGAGAAAGCGAGAAAGAAAAAGCTAAGATTCTAAGAATTTTACTTAACCCCATAACCCCAATACATCTCTTAAGGACTGAGGTCCTCATGTGAACATTATTTGGAGATGATCTCAAAATAAAGAATGAAAACTTGAAAGCAGCTTTATAAGGAATGGCTTAATTATAGAATCAGCCTATCTTGTTTACTATTCCTAGTATCTAACCCTTAGTATTTGCTAGAGAAATACCCTCAGGCAAATGAGAACCATTTTGACTACGATGTATTAGAATTCCTTGGAAGTCTCCTGAGACACATAGTTGAACTTTCCAATGAAGTTGCATCATTGATCCCTGAGCTTTTCCAAAGACAGCAGCCCTGTGATCTGCCCCAAGCGGCCCCTCCCTGGCCCCTCCCTATAAGCCCAAAGCGGTTGACTCCTTAAAGGGGTTGACTGGAATCTTCAGGGTTTCAACTTAGGTATGTACAGTGACTAGCACATTCCTGGGAAGCCAAGGTTAGAAGATAAGAACACTGAACACTTCCAGGAGGAAGGGGTTCCGGTAATTAGCGGCAGACTGATGGTTACTGACAAGCAGAATTCTAAAATGGTCTCCACCCAACTACATGTCCTAGGTTAATCCCTTCCCTGAGGTGTGAGCCACAGCTGGGTGTATGAGAGGACAGCATTCTGTGATTGGATTACATTATAAAACAAAGGTGAATGGATTTTAAAGGTATAACTAAGGTTTTACATAAGTTGATTTTAAATAAAAAGGATTATTATAGGTAGGCCTGACATAGATAAAAACTCCTGAAAGAGGCACTAGGTACTTGAGAAGAGAAGCCCTCTTCTCTCAGTCATGAAAGAGCAGCTGTCATGCTGGAAGTTACCTATAGAGAAGGAAGCCTCAGGACTCCATGGCCTCAGGACCCCTTGGCCTCAGTTGCGTAAATTTAAGCAGAAGACCCAGCTAAGCTGTGCATTTTATGCACCCACAGAAACCCTGAGATGATAAATCTGTATTTTTTAAGCTGCCGCATCTGCACTAGTTTGTTGGATAGCATTAGAAAACTGATACAGGCATAGTTACGAATAAATGCAGTGAAAAAAAACCATGACATAAGGGTTGGTGCAGTATATAAAATACAAAACCACACAGAATAAGAAAATAAACTGGTATTCTGAAGTCCAGCTGTGGACAGAGAACTCCTGAAATTAATAGGTCAGGGGAGCCCTGGTCACAGGTTTGTGATTGTTTATAGGTTTGCCTTTCCCTAAACCAAGCTCTGCAGGCCCTTTGTCGTCACATTTCTTCTATAAACAATTTCTATGCCTGTGCCATGCGAGGAAATATAAATACAGAAAAGAAGATGTCAATATGTTTATGGTCTGATTGAGGAGTCAGATACACCCAAGTATGTGTGGCTGAGTGTGTTAAATGCCTGTATATATGTTTATATGTGCACATGTGCATACATTATATATATATACATATATATATATATATA